CACCCTAACCAGTATATTTTACATATATTCTACATAAGTATGAAATTAACGACATCAAAACAAAAATGCGAATTACCTACATCGCATAAAATAAAGTAAAGTAAAGAATAGTAAATAAAGGAATGCTTTAATGAGGAACAGTGAAGAGTAATGAATATAAGTCAATAATTATGAATTGCAAGTCTTAGTTTAGTTGTAAGTGTCTTTAGACTTTTACAAAATGCAACACTGTTAGAAAATAATATAATTAATACATAAAACATAATGCGAATACTATAAATAAAATACAAAGAACAAAATAACAATAGAATAAAATATATATAATGACAAATAAGTAACTATGTATTGCTGTTCAAGAATAAATTTCTCTGCTTGCAATCTGTTTCTTTTTTCCGTTAAAAGTAATCCTGCTTTAGAAAATATTCTTTTGCATGGGACTGAAGTAGCCACCACACAAAATAAATGATCTACTAATTTACTTAATAAAGGAAATTGAAATTGATATTATATGCGGATTTTTTATGCAAACTATACATATTGAAACATTTTATAAAGAGTAATTTAATTAAGATCAAGAATTGTGATCACGCAATTCTAGCAAGATAAAAGAATCACGATTACGCTCGTATATGAATTAAATCACGATCACCCTCGTGAATGATATCAAATCACCATCGTGATCGTGATTTTGCGATCACTGTGATAACGGTTAGTGATTTTGTACGCCATCTCTACTCTCCACGCATACCAAAACCAACTCTCACACTAACTACAGACAGTGATGGGCAAACTCCTAGGTTTCGAATAAATCTGAAGTTTGCCGATATGTTTGTCTCGTTTCCTCTTTTGAACATTTTCCAGAGAAAGAAACGAGACGAACACATCGGCAAACTTCAGATTTATTCGAAGCCTAGGGTTTTGCCCATCTCTGACTACAGATAATGTTTTATAACGTAAAGCTGTGAACTCATAAAATTGATTAAATGTTCTAAGCGATAGTTCAATCGCTACTAACTAGATCTGAAGTTCACGAACAACCACGTAACACCTACGTACGTCGTCATCAAGGAGAGATGTAAACGAAGGAACGAAGTGACTCTGGTCGACTATTAATTATTCTAAGACAGCCGGATTTTAAGAAAACTTGAAAGAATGTTACCGTGTGATCAATTTCGTGAGACACTGTACTTTTCTCTTTACTAAAAGATGCGTAAGAAGACTACAGGTTTCCCATCTCTGGGCTTACGCAAAAACGTGTATAAAATTGTAATTATTTGTTGGAGAAATAATTTCAGAGGTTGCTTCTATTAACAAAGGTGGCAACACTGAAACAAAAGAATGTGTGCGAGTGTGAATGTATCCGGAGCAGACTCTATATGAATGTTGGAACCATGAAGACTGTATAAGGAAATCCAACTCCCTACGAATGTTACTAGAAAACTGTTATCAAAATCCCGAGCTTTAAGTTATGAATATTTCTACCACTCGCGGTGCAAGTGCGCACAGACTACGATATATATATATATATGTCGTATGTGTATGTATTATCATATATCGTAGTCTGTGCTCACTTACGCCGCGAGTGGTAGAAATATTCATAACTTAAAGCTCGGAATTTTGATAACACTTCTACACTACACACTTGGAACTCCTTATACAGTCTTCATGGTGGGAACGAACGAACGTGTATTTTTGGTTAAGAGTAAAAACTGTAAAACGTGGTTTGAAAACCTATTTCATATCAAAGAACATCGTGCATAATAATTGCAGACACCGAGTGCAATTTCAGTGTATCAAATTAATTACAAAGCAGAATATAGTTTTTTTATATTATTTTCAACGAAAGCTAAATAACTGCGCACGTTTTTATTTTCTTTCCTTGCTAAACCTCATCATTATTAATAATACATCCTGTGTCAGGTTTCTTTTCCCGAGCTGCGCCATGAGCTCGAATACATAAAAAAGATATTTTAAACCGTGTCATGAACTTAAAAAGGTTAAGAACCACTGTCTACGATGCGCCGTCACGCGAATACACTTATACAAGTATCGTTTGTATGCGCGCGTTCCACCAGGTTGCGATCACGCGCCAAATTGTGCAATCCTTCGTCTCTGTTTTTCCCTCTTCTCTGCTTCTTCGTCTTCTTCTTTGTCTTAGGAACAGTACGAGTGCCGACGTTATCCATCGTTCGACGAGATGACAACGCTCGAAAAGGGCGTACCGTTATCTAACGACGCCGACAAGCGATTCATACGTTCCGCGTGCAGCGACATTACGTCACGGGCGTGCTTGAAAATCGAATGTTATATAAAACCACATCGGCCGTGTAATACCTTCCATTACGATAATTACGATTTTGTGTCAATGCTGCAACCGCCGTGCGCGCGGACGCATAGTCACGAGCCGTTTTCATCATCGTTGCTCGAAAGCGGCGGGTCGTTGAATTGAATTACCTCGATGCCTATAACCGAAGGAGAAATTTTCGCTACGCTTCGGCCGTTATCATGAATGGATTCCAACTTCAACCATTCGGATAACGATTTTTCGCGAGTCGTTACGGCCCACTTTACCGTCGAACGATGCACACTTGCCGACGATAACCATCTGTTTTTTAAGTCCACGATATGATTACACATCTTTATAGAGTAGTGTCTTGTTTCAACGAAACCTTTCCATCAAAGGATTACAAAATTGAAGGAGAACATAAAAATGATTCCCGTGTTTCGTACAAGAAAATATTTTTAAACACATCGCCTAATCGTCGTTTTTTCTATAATTTTTCTTCATTAAAACGAAAGATAATTTCATAAGAAAAATATCACGCAGGAAAGACAGAGCAACAGAAACAAATCTGTTTCACAAACCAATCGCACAGAATAATTACGTGAAAGGTGCACGTCGTGGAGAATCGTTTTACATAATCGATAGTCTGGTGAATTTTATGATTTATTACTAGCAGTTTTTCGCCAGAGCAATAACCCGTAACGTAGTAACGGTCTTGTCACAGTACTTAACCGGGAAAAACACACAGCCGACTTCAGAAGTTCGACGTCCTTGCGGGAGATCGCTTGTCGGTTATTATCTTTTCCAGAATATGTTTGTGCAACTCTTCCAACGATGGCAAAATTGTGATTACATCGATAGTTTATATACCACGATATCGGTACTTTTAACCCTTTACTGTGTCAAGCATCATCCTCAACGTCGCAAATGGTTTGCTTATATTCATTTACCTGCCTTGATGAAGAACAAGACTCTTAACGTTTCTGAATGAATTATGACATGATATCTAGAGAGGCGGTAGTGTCTCGACGCCAAGTACATGAAAAATTATAAAGCCACCCCGTATACAGGGTATCCACGTATAAGTCCGGACATACTCAGGGTGTCAATTCTACAAACAAATTTCCAACAAAAAATTACTCTTAGACATTTTCTTTGTGTCGCCTTATTCTCGAGCAGTTTCACTTTCAATTTTTCTTCTGCGTTTTCGACTTGACGGTCTTTAAACGGCCATAACTCGACCAAATTACAGTGAAAATTTAAAACTAATTGTAAGTATATCATTTGAAAGAACGTTAAATTTCCCAACTCCTTGATGCAAAACTAAGATTTATTACGTAGATTTAACAAGTGAAAAATTAGGTCAAACTTTACATTGTGACAATTTTAAAAAATTTGACTTTTTCTTTATCTGTTTCTCGGTTTTAAATACATAGTTGTTTGGCGGACACTCCTCGGGAAAAGCTTCCACGAAGCCTCAGTTTTTGAATGGTATTGTCAAAAAAATTCTACGGTGGTATTTTAGGGAGAAAATGACGTTTGAATGCAGAAAAGCACAGGTTTTTAGGTGAAAATCGACATTTTTCAACAAAAATTTAAATTTAAAATTAATTTTAATTTAAAATTAGCTTGACATCGAGTTTGATGTATTTTTTGGTGACACTCCCGAGTCTCCCCAATTAGGAAAAAACTATTTTTTTTTTCACCTCAAGGTTTTGTTTTTCTCCAATAAATTATTTTTTTCAAATTTAGACTCTTTTATCCGATCTCCTGTGCCGAAATCATCGATTTTTTGCTGTGTGAAATCGATCGTGTTGCAATCTCCATATCATTTATCGGTACACTGAGGTGGATTTCGATTAAATAGTCTCTAAAAATGAAAATTCTATGGATACATGTTCAAAAACAATTACTATTCACTTCTCACTCAGGCTCTACACGCGGCTGGGAGAGGCTTGAGGTGTAAAAAAAACAGTTTTTTCCTAATTGGGGAGACTCGGGAGTGTCACCAAAAAATACATCAAACTCGATGTCAAGCTAATTTTAAAGTGACAAGTCGATTTTTGTTGAAAAATGTCGATTTCCACCTAAAAACGTGTGCTTTTCTGCATTCAAACGTCATTTTCTCCCTAAAATACCACCGTAGAATTTTTTTGACAATACCATTCAAAAACTGAGGCTACGTGGAAGCTTTTCCCGAGGAGTGCCCGCCAAACAACTATGTATTTAAAACCGAGAAACAGATAAAGAAAAAGTCAAATTTTTTAAAATTGTCACAATGTAAAGTTTGACCTAATTTTTCACTTGTTAAATCTACGTAATAAATCTTAGTTTTGCATCAAGGAGTTGGGAAATTTAACGTTCTTTCAAATGATATACTTACAATTAGTTTTAAATTTTCACTGTAATTTGGTCGAGTTATGGCCGTTTAAAGAGCGTCAAGTCGAAAACGCAGAAGAAAAATTGAAAGTGAAACTGCTCGAGAATAAGGCGACACAAAGAAAATGTCTAAGAGTAATTTTTTGTTGGAAATTTGTTTGTAGAATTGACACCCTGAGTATGTCCGGACTTATACGTAGACACCCTGTATAGCGTGGCGCTACCGCGTATCTTTTACTCGAGAAACTGCGATTCCAACCTAACCTGAAACTTCTTTCATTAATATCTCTTCACGCCTGTAATATTGTCTAAATTTAAAGGCATTTTTCTGATGTAAATCGCAAATAAGCTTTCGAATAAAACCAAAATTAATGAAATCGGTCCACGTACAACAGCGATATCGTAATATCATGTCACGATTCATCTAAAAACGATACCGTCTTATACTTTTCCAGTCGATTTTTCGTCAACACTTAACTAATAGGAGGAATAGCTGGATGCAGGTTATTAAGACAGAAGAAAAAAATTTCACCAGATACTGCAAGAAATATTGCACAAGAGACAGTAATGTTGCCTTTATAATACGTGTGTGCACCCATTAAAACCATAATAGTAATTACAACAAGAAAAGGATCTTATAACATCATCAATAAAAGAGTAAGTAAAATCCACAATTAAAAGTAGATAGTGTTTACCATTATTTAATAAGTTGTTTTGTGCGCTTAAAGTATATGTACTATCGTTGTAAATTCTTGTGCGTTTTCTGTTTCCACAGTCCTTGATTGATCTAAGCAGCTACAGTCATTCCAATAAAAGGAAACGAAGGGATGAATTGCTTGTTTCATGAAGCGAATAATTTGCTGACGAAGCAACTGTATTTTGGTGCTCTCCAAAAATAGGAGCTGCCATTGTGAAATTCTAGTATTTTATCTGAGTGAAGGATATCTGGTAGTAATTATTAAAATACCACAAGAAGGATCGTGCAAGTTAACAGGAAATACGATAGTTTGACAGGTATATTGAATTTGGCCAGTTAAAATATACTACGCCCTGACAGAGTGTACAATGGAAGGAATTAAGTGATCTGTATATAATGTTTGTATGAAAATTATAATTTCTATTTTTATTTTAAGCATTATGTTAATTCGCAATTAAAATATGGTATGTATGTGTTACGGATAATTGAAGCATGAGATGGTGCGGTGTGCATAATAAATTTGCTGGTATTTATATTAATTTATGAATTGAATGAATAAATGTTCATAATTAATAAATTAATATTACATGATTACGATATCTCTGTCGTTCGTGGACCGGTTTTATTGATTTTGATGGTATTCAAAAGCTTATATGCGGTTTACATCAGAAAAATGCTTTAAAATTTAGAAAATGCGTGTTGAGATATTTATAAAAGAAGTTTCAGGTTAGGTTGAAATCGATCATCTTCCTGTAAAAGATACGCGGTAGCTACAACGCCAGGTATACGTGGTGACATATAATTTTTCATGTACTTGGCATCGAGACGCTACCGCGTCTCTAGATAATGAGGACATACATAACCAATCTATTGGTGAGGGTAATCAATCATGCTTTTTCTATAGATATGTGACATGCACAGCAATACGAATACTGTAGATTAATTTATCCTTTATTTCAACAAATCTTCTACTGACAAACTGTGCTTTAATGTAAAATCTTCCTCTACGTTAGCTTAAAAAACTTTTTTAGCAAATTAACCTTTTTCAAAATAGATTACGTATGTGTACTTTATTGCCTCTACTAAGTCATTAATAATCCATTTGAATGATTGATACGATTACAAAATAATAACTTTCTTTCAATTGACAAAATCCTGTACGTATGCGTACGATGGTTTCTGGTTTGCACAATATTTTAGGAATAATTTATCAGGACATGATAAAATTAATACCTAAAATTACTCATTTAGTGTGACAGTATGATGATGTAATAAAAAACGTAATGACGTTAATAATACTATAATACTATAGTGACAGTGCAATTTTTAATGGCAATTTGTCCTGTTCTCTGTAATTTCAAAGAAATAGTAGTACGTTTAACAGGTATACATTGTCTCCGGTAGCTTTAGTGTTAATAGCTTCGTCTGGTTCCATCTTAGTTTCTTTCCTTTTTTTAATGTTCTCACATTTCCGATTGTAATATTTTCTGCACTGATTCTGTAGTATAAGCTTTCCCAATATTGTTAAAAAAAAGTGTCAGAAGAAATACTAATATTACCTGTGTCGAACTGTCGCAAGACGAACCCATCCTTGAGTAGTTTATTACTCCTTGGTTCACAGTTTTGTCGTAAAATGTAAACCACAAGAAAATATATATCGATTCTTTCGTTGACTGATTTACGAGATGGTCGTTTAACACTCGCAGTGAAATTTGACGCATAATGTGCACGTTGTCATTTGTTCGTAATAAATATCACGTTATACAAAAAACTTATTTGACATGCCTCAATTTTATTCAAATATATAAATTTAAAAGTTTAATATGATAATTTACAATATGAAGGGATTGTCAAACAGGGCTTGAAGATTTTATATTTTGATAAAATACTAATGGTATGTGTTGAAGATAATTATTTTACTAGTTTTCGAATTGCGCGCCATAGCGATGCGCGCGTGAGCCCAGCGATACGATTGCACCGATACGATTAATTAGTATGTATGAATGGAGCCGAAGATTTGAGGGTAGAGTAGATAATGCAGACGACTCTGACGCGAAGTCAGATAGTTGCAGGAATCGGTATCTCCCAGTGAAAGGTAACCGTAGGGTAAGGTTCGAACTGTGAGGTTGTTGGAAAAAGTGCAGCGACTCTGGCGCGAAGTCAGATAGCTAGTAGGAATCGGTATCTCCCAGTAAAGGGTAACCGCAGGATAGGTTAAGTTTAGGAGTTCGGGTTGAGTACACAATGACTAAATCGTACCGTTAAAATGTAACACGCGTCGTTAATAAAGCCTCACAACTTGTAAATTTAATAAAATAATAACTCGAGCGGTAAAGTTATTATGTTGTGGGATCGTTACACTGGCTAGGATTGCTGATTTCAAAGTAAGGTTTTATGATTGATCTGACAGACTTTTAAGTTTACACAAAAGAGTATATATTCAAAAATAACTATACTAATTACAAGTGTGAAGTATTGTGTTTCGCGGTTAGTATATGAAGTTAAAATTACCTAAGCGCAGCGCAGTGTTGACGCACTGGCGATGCGGGGGTCGAGAGTACTTCTATGGCCGTAATAGATTTTAAAACCGTCTTCGCGGATCTATATGGTAACGATGATCGAAAGGAACTGAAGCCCGATCTCACTAGACTGCTACTCTACAGACGATCGATGTGTTTCTAACGACTAACTCTTTCGTACTAGTCCCCGAGCAACGAAAATCGTGGGTTTATATACCCCTAAATGTTGGTGGGGAATCGCCAGTGATTTCCATATTAGGAAATTTGACGGCTAGGATTTTCGTTGCTCTGAGGTCAACAGCTGTGTGCCCTGGAAAAAGGGTAAATTAGAAATTATCCCATGCAACGCGAGTCAATGATGGTATTAAGAGGATGCAGCTGCAGAATGCACTCCAGGGAGACCGAGTTCCACATTCCAGAAGGGTAGATAAAATAAAGTTAATGAACGCGAGCTTCGAAAAAACGGATAGTTTCTGTATACGTAACAATTCAGTAAAAATCAAGGACGTTAAAAAGCCAACAGTGAACCCAGACTACTCAGGTAAAAGGAAAACATATGAATCAAATCTGTACCCGGAGTCGAAAAAAAGCCCAGCTTATGTCAAGGTCCAATTCCATACGGACAATCCAAAAACTAGGAAAATAAACGAATTTATACATCTAGTTAAGACAATTAGTGCTCTTAAAACAGGATCAGAAGAACTAATTCCACGCGGTAGGGGCACTACAGAAGTGAAGTTCAAAACCGGACGTCAAGCCAATGCATTTGCCATTAACGAAAACCTGAAAGCAAAAGGCATTAAAACCTTTATCTCTCAATTTAAAATAGAAAGAAAAGGCCTTATCAAAGGTTACGGCACGGACATGGATCCCATGGACCTCGTACACAAAAGCGAATCCCCTTGCAAGATAAAACAAGTACAAAGATTGAATAGGAAATCATTCAATAAAGAAAATCGTTAAAACCGAGTTTGTAACATCGCGTTTTTAACATGCAACAGTTGTCGGCCTGCTCACTTACGAGTAGAGCCGAACATCGCTCAGGTACCGTCTGTACTCGAGAAACGATCTTTCTCTTAAACCAGAAGATAGTCAGTCCCAATCGTCGTCTCGTCGAAGCTATAGGCTAAAGAGGAATAAAAGCATTAAAAAAAAAAAAATTTATTTATTTGAGTATCCATCCAATCTCCTCACGATTCACGCAAATAAAAATAACATTAACAAAACTGGACAAGTAAGTTGGATACCCAGTGAGACCATTCTGGTCACATTCGAAGGGACCATCTTACTTGACTACGTTAAATTATACAACCTAATCAATGTCAATGTAGAAATTCAATTGCTATAGATTTGGCCATATTGGCAAAAACTGCAGAAGCGACCCTAGATGCCGCACATGTAGTGGTCAAGAGAACTCCTACATACCTCCACTGCAAGGGAAATCACAAGACATTGGACCGCTCATGTAGCGTACTGCAAGAGGAAAACGAAATAAAGAAAATAAAAGCTTATAACAATATAGGAGTTTGGGAGGCCAGAAAACTCGTTAAAGAAACAACAACCTCCAACAATCCACCAAGCCTGATACGTACCAAAGAAAACTTCCCACCTCTGGAAAAAATAACGCCAGAGAAAACGGTAATGATGAAAGCAATAGGCAATCAACAAAGACCGGAACCAGCCACAAAAAGCTGGAAACAGAGCAACAACAAACAACAAAACAATAAAGATGCACCAAAACCAACAGGAAAAGAACTTAAAAACAAAGACCTAAAAAACAGCAATGCAAAATATGAAAACCTTAAAACTAAGGAAATAGACCAAATGATAAACAGAATCCCAAAGGAAACTAAAAACAAATCACCAGTTCCCTCAAAAGGACCAACTCTATCGGTATTGATTAATACAAACCTTAGAACAAGTCAAAACACAATAACCAAACAATATGGATCTGCAAACAAAAACAAAAAGGACGCAGGAGAAAGAGGTTAAAATCGTCTTATGGAACTCTAGAAGTGCCAAAACAAAATACAACGAAATATTACATTTAACGCGATCAAACGATATAGTAATAATTACAGAAACTTTACTTAACCCAAATATGGATTTTTCAATCTCTGGATACAACATAATAAGAGTTGACAGGATCAACGCAAGAGGAGGAGGCGTAGCTATAATAATAAAAAACGACATCAAGTTCAAGGTTAATGAGGACAGCATACTGCAAGATGCTTACTCCAATGCAAGTATAATAGAATTCAACAATCTTCAAAATCCAATCATTATTGCAGCTTGTTATAGACCACCAATCAGAAGGAAGTTTTCTCTTGCTAGGGGATTTCAACGCCCACAACAAAATCTGGAACTGCAACGATACAGATGCAGCAGATTCCAACCTACATAATATAATAGAAACAAGAAATCTATTCTTACGTAACAAAAAAGGAAAATCTAGAATAGCACCACCAGGTTCAATATCAAGCAATATAGACCTAATAATCACAACACCAGAAATAGCTCATTTAATAAACACAGAACAACTGGATGATCCACTAGGATCTGACTACTACCCAATTGAAATATCTTATCAAACCAAAAAATATACATACAATCGTAAAACAAATAGAATTTCAACAAAAAAGACAAACTGGAAAGGATACTTCACAACATGCGAAAGAAACTGGAAATACTTTCTAACAACTGAACACACATCCAAAGCTATTGAAGAACGCTATGAAGATCTTACAACATTTCTAAAGAGAGCTGTCAAAGAAAATACACCCAACTCAACAATAAAAAAAAAAACAGGCACACTCAAACCCAGTTCCCTGGTGGGATAAAGACAAAGCCATAAGGCTCCGTAAAGCAGCACTACAGAAATGGAAACATACACTCGAGTTTACAGACTGGATCGCATATAAAAAAACAAGCAGGGAACACTAAAAGGATAGTAAAGAACAAGAAAAGAGAAGCATTTCGCCAATTTGCCAGCAGTCTAAGCGCCAGAACAAATAGTAGCTACCTTTGGAAAAAGGTAAAAGTTTTCAAAACCAAATGGACCGACACCTCAGGAAACTGCATCAACCAAATCAACAATGGAGAGGATGCAATAAACGCTGCAATAGATAAACTTTCACCACCATGGATTCCTGAACGAACCCCGGATACAAACAACTCTATTAACAACTGGCTAAACGATACCTTTAACTTTATGGAACTTAACTACGCAATTGAAAAAACCAACCCAAACTCAGCACCAGGACCGGCCGCCATTGAATATAGAATGCTACTCCACCTTCGCACCACAAACAGATTGATTCTTCTATATCTGTTCAACGAATTTTACACTAAACATTTCATTCCATCAGATTGGACAAAAGCACAGGTATTCTTCATCCCAAAGCAAAATAACAAAAATTACAGACCAATAACTCTCAGCTCATGCCTTTGCAAGCTTTACGAAAGACTAATCTTGCAACAACCGCCTCCAATGGTGGTGCGAAAACTTGAGAATTTTAGATCCCACCCAAGCAGGATTTCGTAAAGGAAGATCAGTACGGGACAACATAGGAAACATCATACTACAAGGCAAAATGGGACAATATAATAAAAAAAATCAATATCAGCATTCCTAGATGTAAGCGGAGCATTTGACAACGTCCAAAACAAGATACTAATAACCAAACTCCAAAGCATTGGAGTTCCAACCAGGGCCGTCTTTCGGATCGGGGAGGCTCTGGGCCAAGAGACTATCTGGGGCCTATGTAAGGGATGGGAAATTCTAAAATGTTAATTTTATCAGTTCAACCGAGTAACGCAATAGACTAAATTACGACCTCTCATATCTCTTAACACTCAACATATGCCGATTCGAGCATGAGCCTATTTCAAACCTTTTAATACAAGATAATATATTCATTTCTACGTTTCAATAAATTTTACAATAGTTTATGTTTAAACAATTAAATGCAATGTCTATCATACAATATAAAAGTTTTCCCATTTACAATATTCAAATCAACGCGCCAAAATTGTTATTCGGATACTCACGCATGCGCGTTCGCGAACACAAGCAGAAGCGCGATTGTTTCGAAATAAACTTGATTGCACTTGTTTTTGATTGTGTTTTGTTTCTGGCGAGAAAACGCGTGCAGTCAATAGTCTCTTTACCAGATTTTCACGCGGTGTATCGAACAGTTCATGTAGGTAGTATTATTTTATTATTTATCCAATAATCTGAACTACGTCAAAAGCATGAATCGTGTCTACGAAAGTGGTGCTTCAAAAAAACGAAAAGCAAAAGAAGAGCAAAAGAGAATTGAAAAGTTACCGAAAATAACTTCATTTTTAAAGCCAGATGCTGCTTCTAACTTTGAAAATGATGGAACGCAAAAAGGTACCGATGATTTGCCAGAGAATGTTATTCAAAACGAACCAGTAGATCAAGTAGATTTTAACACTCTAGCTCTACAGTCTTTATGACTGTAGTTTGGCACGAAATTCTGACACGTATTAATGATCCGTCTAACAATTTACAGAGAAAAAATATCGATTTGTATATTGCATGCAGTCTTTTGAATTCCTTAGAACTATACTTATCGGATATTAGGGAAAAATTTGATGCATTTTTAGAAAAAGCAAAAAGCTTTACTGATATTTACAAAACTGAATCTACATCTGATCCAATAAATAGAAGGAGAAGCGTAAAACTTACTCGCTTTGAAGGACAGATTGAAGACACGCAATTTACTGGAGATGACAGGCTCAAAATAGAGATTTTTTATCCAGTGATCGATTCGCTTTGTTCCAATTTAAGAACTAGAAAAGCTGCTTACAAAACGGTGAATGATGATTTTAAGTTTTTCATTGCTCTACCAGATATGAAGTATGAAGAAATAAAAGAATTCTGTGAAAAGCTTGCCAAAAAATATGATCAAGACATCGCTGCAGACAACTTAACATCGGAATGTTTACATTTTAAACATTACCTCAGTGAAACACGTAAAGATGAAGTGTTATTTATTCCAAACCTATACTTCCAATTGAAAAAAGAATTTCTTTCTTCCACATTCCCAAATATTGAAATCAGTCTACGAATATTTCTAACACTCATGATAAGGAATTGCGTTGGGGAACGTTCATTTTCCCGATTAAAATTAATAAAGTCAGACCATAGAAGTACAATGACTCAGTCATGATTAAACTACCTAAGTTTAATGAGCATAGAATCTGATCTACTAAAAACCATCGATTTTGATGAATTAATAGCTGATTTTGCTGCGAAGAAATCTAGAAGGAAAGTTTTTTAAATAAACCATGCGTGCGTATAATTAGTTTGTAATTTTACTACGAAAATAAACTTTTAAACAAAATTATTAATATCTTGTTTCTATTTTACAAAGTGTGTGATCAGATAGTTTTTTATATCATAAAATTCTTTGATGTATATATAAAATTTCAAAATCAGGGGGCCCCTATCTAACGCGGGGGCCTGGGGCTTAAAGATGCCTTAAAGACGGCACTGGTTCCAACGAATATGCTCTACTTCATAACAAAATGGACACACTGCAGAAATATTGACATTACTGGCAATATTCACACAATTAAACAACCCATTTCTCGCACTATATATAAAGGAGTTCCGCAAGGAGTGCTCAGCCCACTACTATACAACATATGTACATTATGCAAATTAAAAAAATGATAAAAGAATTTAAAGAAAAATCCCATATAGGAAGCTCACTAAACTTTATATGAATTCCGGCACATCAAGGAATAGTAGGGAATGAGCTAGCTGACACTAAAGCAAAAGAACCATCCAAATTAACACAAGAAACTACTAAATTCATACCTCCCTCCGATCTCCCTAAGAAACTGAAAGAACATGGATAAATGAAGATGCTCAGAAGGGCAAAACATACTTTGAAAAATTCTATAAAAAATCCATGAAACCATGGTTTTACAATCGGAAGCTGCAAAGATACACCACATCATGGGTATGCAGATATATTAGTAATCACTACAATCTCACTGCCTCCCTAACACGAATAGGAATAACCAAAGACAGCAAATGTGGCTGTGGCCACGAACTGCAAGATTTCAATCACATACTTTGAAATTGTCCACTATACGCACAAAAAAGGAAGACTATGACAGAGAAACTGCACAGGCGTGGATGGACACCTCCCTTCAAGGCAGAAGAACTTTTACAGGAACCTAACCTAGCAGCAAACTGGATAATCACAGAGTTTCTAAAAGAAAATAACTTACAGATTTAATAGGAGACAAAATAACAATACACACAACACTCTGAATCACAGAAGGACACCAACAATACAATAAACACAGAAATATATACGGACATACTGCACTTAGGATAACATCATATCTGGTATAAAAAAATACACTTAGGATAAGCTGACTTCTACTATTAAGTATTATATGTAGCAATGTAAATATTTCTATTTTTGTACTTTTTATATCTAGGACTAATAGACCTAAACGCCAAACAAACAACACTTTCTGTTGCGTGAGCGGCCAAGTGAGTAACAAAAAGCATAACCTTGTCAGACGTTAGCACGCGGTGGCATGCTTCGGCAATCTCTATCCACGTGATCTTATATACTGTCTCATTGTTAATCTCCCATACTCGATTCCTCAACACTTTCAAAGCTTTACATCAAAGTACTAGAGTTCTTTTACTACTAATAGAGTACTGTTTTCAAAATGTTGACATATCTTATCTTTTAGCAGGAAAATTTTCAACTGAAAAATTATAGAAACGATTTGGAAACTATAGATTTTTATCTAGCTGTAATTATCACGTTTCATACAATGAAGTAGTTCATGCAGAGAAAAATATTAGATTAAAACATATATTTACGAAATCAGCAAGATTTTTTTCTTTTACTAAAATCAAAAATAGATTTGAAATTTGTGATAACGATAATAATCTTTATAATCTTTCCATTGATGTAACTTGTTTTCTGGGAATCTTCGAAACTGGATATTTATCCACTTGTGTTGTTGATGATTCCATTAAAATTTACATATCTGGTTATGGGTCCCATTCTATTGCTAAAAAACTAAATTGTAATATATGTAAATTATTAATTGTGGAGGATAAAGGTAAAACTATTGGCGAAGAAGAGGCCTTTCTGTTCCTACAGAAGAAGTAATGACCGTATTCAATCATATATATGCCATACTGGAAGCCATAATTAATGATACTGACTTGAAGTCCCAAGTTGTAAAATCTGAAAATCATAAACATATTTTATATAAATTGACATATATTAGTATTCATTCAAATATTCATTATTTTGCATTTTCCGATTATGATTAAAAAAGGTAACACACCATGGGAATACCCCTAGAATGATGAGGAAATTTACCTGTAACACACTCTTGTAATTAACTGCACAATTCTTTCCTTGGGTAGCTTCCCTTTATCACTTCCACGCGTTCACTTAACCTCTTTGGCTTCGTATCAACAATTTTGTCTATTTCACGTTTGTATTAACTTATAATATCTCTTATTAATTTTAAAACACTTCAATTTGGTCCAAAGGTTTTAACTTCCTTCACACTTATATTTTCTTCAAACCACTGTAAATATTTCAAGTTTAATGCATCATAACATCAAACTACTTTCTTATATCTACAGATATTAATATACTTTTAAACTACTTTTACTTACTATAGTCATAATATTTATATCCTACTTTTACATAATTAATAACAAATGGTGTAAATTATGGTGTACATTAGTATAGTTTTCTATTGCATTGTAGCGCTACATGTAATAGAGCTAAGTTCACGTGATAGCGTAACAGTAGTATGCAGTAGTATGTTTGCCTATTTACGGCTATACAGGGTGTCCCAAAAATGTTGGAGATCCTTGAAAGGGGTGGTTCGGGAGGTGATTTGAAACAACTTTTTCCTTAACAAAAAAGTTGCCAAGGCTTCGTTGAGGAGACATTAACTGAAAACCTCGACCAATCAGAGGGCGCTCCATTGGCATACTCGCGCTCTGATTGGTCGGGAAACGCGGTCGCCTAGCACGTAGCCTACACTACCGCGATCGCTCCACCGGAATACTCGCGCTCTGATTGGTCGGGAAGCGCGTAGCCTACACTACCGCGGCCGCTCCAACGACATACTCGCGCTGTGATTGGTCAGTGTTTTCCATTAATATCTCCTCAACGAAGCCCGGACAACATTTTCGCTAAGGAAAAAGTTGTTTCAAATCACCTCACGAATCACCTCTCTCAAGGTGTTACAACATTTTTGGGACACCCTGTATAGTATATACCTCACGATAGTATATGAATATAGGTTATTGTAGGTTATGTTATATGATACAACTACAATAAACTGTAGTTGCGACACCACCTTCGACTGGTTCTGACAATTAAAAAACAAACAAAATGAATATCGTTGGTCGACAATGTCTTAGAATTTTTAAATCTGACCAAACTCAACAGGGTCTCTGTAATATTCTTGGAAGAACACTTGCTTATAAAAGTGCTGTGTCCCTTGACAAATTGTATCCGACAAGTAACCTAAAACTTTACACACCAACCTTTGTAAGTCTTTCGTTCCATTATATTAAGGAAAAAGTTTTTCTATATTATAATTTACTGTCGGTTTATTATTATATCGATATTTGTGTTTATAATTAGCTAAAACAAATAGTAATAATAATTTTCTAGTTGTCTATTTTCAAAACTTTAACTTAATATTTTTAAATTACAAAAAGTTTAATTTTTAGACTAAGTCTCTACCATAGTAATGTCTATAGTATTAGATCCCTTCAGGTTCCTGAAGATCCAAATGTGAAATTCGATGGCTATATACCCTTACAAGAAATTGATATAACATATAGCCGTAGTAGCGGCGCTGGAGGACAACATGTAAATCGTACAAATACTAAAGTAGATGTGAGGTTCCAAATACAAAATGCTAAATGGTTATCGGAAGAAATTAAAGAAAAATTAACAAATAAGGTTTGTAATTTAGGTTTTGTAAGACTCATTTTGATAATTGACAGAGATTATGATGCACTCATGCAAAGTAAGACTATTTAAATTGGTGTAATATTTGTTACAGTATAAATCTAAACTTACCAAGGAAGGTTATTTAATAATCAAATCAGAATTAACTAGATCGCAACAATTGAATTTAGCTGATGCTTTAGAAAAATTAAGATCAATGATTCGAGAAGTCATAAAGCCACCGCCAGAGGTATCTCAAGAGTCTTTAGAAATGAAACGAAAACAACGACTTAGAGCAGCAAGAGAAAGACTTTATGAAAAACGAATGCATTCTGAAAATAAAAGATCTAGACAAACTTCATTAGATTTCTAGTTTTCTTTACATAATTGTAATTATATATTGCATATAAAGTAACATACTGTTAAAATAAATGAAATGTAATATAAGAGTAGAATTTATATGATTATGTTTTCAACCTATTTCTTTTTACTATAAGTAGATCACTGTATAAAGTTTACTTCCAAATTGTTTACAAGGTTAATACACATTTCCCTAATAGATATCTTTATAATTATAGGTAAGATTTTATGTAACATTAATAAGGAAATTTGCTTTACATTGAAACAAGATAGCTATTACTTGTTCATACTAACCTTCCATTAGCCACCTTATTTTTATTGCTTCTAAAATCTTTAATGTATTACATGATAGTTCTTGAAGTTTAATAATAAAAGCCTTTTTTAACAATAATTGAAAAATGAATGGAGAAATTTAAGCATGAAATGTCACTATATAAAAAAAAACTACAGTGGTTGATGGTTAACCCATTCAACTCTAGTGGGACATATGTGTCCCAATGAATATTTCTGGTTAATCATTGATGAAATTACAATTGAGACTTACAGGAATACATTTTAACAAAAATGAACATCATTTACACAGGGGGAAATTATCCCTTCTTTTCTGGCTAAAGCCTTTGATTTGTAACCAATCTTAGTTTAATAGAATTAATTTCTAAAAGAGAAACAGACAGAATTGAAATAGAAAACAGCTGGGTCAAAACAATTAATATATATCAGATGCTTCACATATGTACCACATATAACTTTTTGGACTATATAATACCTATAACTTCCTATGTCTGGGGATGACTGAACACATTCTGATTCCTATTGAAGACCAAAACCAGGAAACCCAATGTTGAAAATCAACCTTTCTTACTTCTATGATTCATCAAACTTAGCATTCAAGGCTCTTATACAACTTTAATCTCGCATTGTAAGCACATTTATTTTGGTGGTTTTATTACTAGTCAAAAAAGCACATGGAAATACCTCAACCAATTATTGGCCATACCTGGTACATTGACCTGATAGAAGAACTATCTCTCTCTCTTGGTTCTTTGATTATTGAGGTTGTATACTTGAAATCGAATCTTATTCATTGTAAGGACATTTATTCTTGGATTCGTCTTACTTATGAAGTTATATATTAACCACAAAGATAGCAACTCACCGTAGAGTAATATTACAAAATGAACATCAATTTCTAAATTCAACGTGCCATAAGAATTGCAAAGGGAGTGATAGTTAAATATCCGTGAAATAAGTTCACAGAATTCGAAAAACTAATACTTTTTTAAGGTCATTGTCTATTTTTATGAATTAAAAAAGTGTATGGCTATATAACTATATATAGTTACGTCACTGAACTATACCAATAATTTTATAATATAGTTTGTTATAGTATTTATAGTATTACTATAATTCAGCGGGTTACATATATGTGGTGTAACCCGTTTCCCTGGAAACGCATTGCGCGTAAATGAAAACATAACGAGGAACATTGGAAAAATATTGTGGTTCATTCATTTTCATTCATTTCCATTCGGAAATGTCATATCGTGACCTAAGAAGTAGATAAACTAATGTTTTCATTATAAATGTAATAAATTTCATAATATTATGATCATAATAATCGTTATTTTTTGTAGATTTTACGGAAATGATGCGAGTGCTCGGTTATTCGAGACTGATCTCTATTGGAAATTTTCGTTTACCGAATTTTCCATTAGTTGCAGAAATTCTTGTTTGGTTGGTGAAAAGATTTGATCCTGATGCCGACATACCTAATGAACATAACACCGAAGAAGAACGTATTGTATTAATTCGTGCTATTGCCGAATTCATGGTAAGAAAAATGGTTTATTAAAATTTTTAATCATTATTCCAAAATAATTAAATTTAATTATATTGTCTTATTTATTTATCTATATTACATATTTTCATTTTAGTATTATTTTACTTTATTTGTTTCTTATGTTTACCCGTAACATCACTCGCATAAATCTCGACATTACAAATTCCGTTAAAATGATGTATACTAACAATATGTAATAATGAAATTTATATATCTACTATTAATTGAAGCAAATAGATATTAAAAACATGTTTTGTTTTGAAGAAAAATAAATCGAAGTAGCAGAATTGTAAATACAATAATATTTTCACTTTTAAAGACATAGTTTATTAATCTTGAAAGAAATACACAGAATTCGTAGTGTATACTTGTATACCATACTAAAATCAATTATTTATTTTTTTTAAATAAAACAAAAAAACATTCGATTTGGTAATTGTTATGTTCAGGTAAAAAAAGGGAAATTAATAATTAATAATGCTTATATTCACTTATTTTGAAATGTATCAGAAAATATGAGTTAATGTAACTTTTATAACATTTATTATAAATTTAAATTGCTAAACAACTATAATGAAATATATTTTTATGTTCTTTATGTTAGAAATTGATATTATTAATTGGTTTTAATGTAGGCAATAAAAACGAATGTTAAGTTAAACACAAAGAAACTATACCAAGCTGATGGCTATGCTGTAAAAGAGTTATTAAAAATAACTACATTATTGTATGATGCTCAAAGCAACAGTAACAGCAATAATGTAATAACCAATGATAACTTTAGTTTAACTAATTTTGATATTTCTGATAAAGTTAATGAACTCAAATCAACTAGACAGTTAGCTAGTCAGTTGACTGTGACTGGTGCATCATTGTTTGACTTATTGGGACGTGAAGTTGATCTTCGGGAAATTCGTAACTCTAAAGTTGCTAGACAGTTTGATACATCAGAAATTGAAATGGCATTAAAAAATGTTATCGAAAGTATACGTAAAGAAATTGATGATACCAAAAGACAGATCGATAATGTGAAGGTATTACTCGTTTTTTCCTTTTTATTTTCAAGATATTAATTTTCTTGATACAATTTGCTTTTATTTGTAAGGATACAGAACAAAATTTGGATGTGAGAATTGAAAGGCGTCGTGCAGAACTTGATAGGAATCAGAAAAGACTACAAACATTAAAAAAAGTACGCCCAGCTTTTATGGAAGAATTTGAAAAACTGGAAGTAGAATTAAGATCTTTATATGACGATTATTTACATAAATTTCGATATCTTGCATATCTTGAGCATTTATATGAAGATACAGCTAAAGTAGAACAAGAAAGATTTGAAAGGCGGTATGTATATTAACTCTGATAAGTGAAATTAATGACATAGGGCAGGGTTTCTTACAGTTCATTTTTTAAAATTCACTCTCGATAAAGGCATATTCTGCATTAACTCTCTAAAATAATATTAAATTCTTACTCTTCAGTTAACGTATTTCTTTAGTGAATTAATATTTCCTTATCAAAAAATTATTCTGAAAGAGATCATAAATGAGTATGTAAAAGAAAAAGCTCTTATCAGTGGCATTTGAGTACAAAATTCATAAATAAATAGCAATTTATTAATGCTCTAGATTAATTATTGCAGAAAGCATTTTTTTATTCCATAATATAATATGCTGTATCTGTTTTTTGAAATCTTGTGATTGTATTAATATTATATATAACTAACTATAATTTTTATGTAACAAAAGGCAAGAAGCAACACGAAAGCAGTTGGAAAAAATGAGAGCAGAGGATGCCAATTTTGAAACCATGATGGAAGGAAACGATTCTATATTAGCCACACATCTTCAAGAACCTCCGCCTCCTCTCAGTGATATAGAGAAACAAAATACTGAGAAAAGAACTCAGAGTAGTCGATTAAAATCAGGTAAAAGATATTACAATGTAGTTAATTGTTTCAAGAAATCTTTAATCATTAGTCTAAAAATTGATGTTTTAAACTTATTTATACAAAACAATAGCTGGCCGTGCATCAAGAATGCAAATATCACAACGTCGAATTTATGGCAGCATGTCAGGGCGACAGAGGGGAACTATTCAAGAGTCAAACGATAGCGAGGGTTCTCTAGATAGTGATAGTGATTTACTGATCGATGGTGATCTCGATGATGATGATGATGAAGACGACGATATTTTAGACTCTGTAAGAGGACCAGAAATTGGAAATTTTGATTTAAAGGTTGGACAAGAAAAACGAGCCGTTAGTAAACTAGATCATTCAGACGAGGACTTTTAACCATTATAAAAACAACCACAAAAGCTTCAAAATATATGTCAATTTTAATACGTCTATTGTAGTATATATACGTATATTTTTACAATAACTAAATGGATATTGGCTGAACTTTGTCTCAGGGGCCCATTTCTTTTTTTTTTTTTATTGGTTAAGGGTGCGCAGGAGATAAACTGGCCCACCAACGGAGAAATAACAATGAAAAAAACATTTAATAGTTATGCATTTCGTAATCAGGGGAAGTAAATCTATCGTCTCATCAAGCGTTTTTTTTTTTAAATTGAAAACAAAAAAAATTTCGTGCCTTTGAACGCAGTTTTAGCATGTTTCAAAAGTGAAATTGCAAAATCTGTAACTATCGCCCACAGCGGAATGTTATAAGGAGTTGTTTAAAAAAAAAATCAGACGGAAAGGTCGCTTCCTCACCTCATGAGATGTAAATAACTGTTTGGAAAATTACAAATGTTTGACATCATTCTGTATTTGTCTCTCCTCCGATTGTTGTATCTCCCTCTCTGTCACAGCATCATTGGAGAAACAAGGATCTATCTATCCTTGTCCCGGAGCTTCCTACTTTTTCCGCTACTGTCGTTGAAGTCAACTCGGAGTTTTGCATATGTGTGAAGTTAGCCCCGCACTTTACGAATTATTGATTTTTTTAAATTGTCTACATTGTGCTACGTTTGTGCTACGTTTGTGCCGTAAACCTCAGTCAAAGTACAGGAGTATAGTAATGCCTCGATAAATGCACAAGCTCGGGATCGAAAGTGTGCATTTATCATGGAGTTCCCACATTGTTTGATCTTTGCCGGCAACTTCGAACGTAGTAAAGGACGGCGAATAACAAAAGCGGACGGAACGAAACAATACTAATGCAATTATGAAACTTTTATCAACAGATTTATGGCATCTTTCTGAATAAAATGAGACGAAACACGATATAATTTGAATTATATACCATGCATCTTTTTTTAGTTACTCGATACATAATAAGTTGTTACAAGTAAATATGTTCCCAATTATGTCGTGATTGATTTCAAAAGTGTGCGGATGTAGTATATTACTGATATATTAGACTCCAATTTTTTTTTTTATTAAACTTTTAGTGTATAATATGTGTTGTCTTTTGCACAACCCTCAGACCCAATCCTACATATATTATTTATTGGTATCATATATTAAAAATAGATGTACAAAATATAGTTTCTTATATAACCATTCATTACAGTTGAGAAATACACGTTTTCAACATATATATTTGCAGAATATTCTGATTCAAGATCAAACAATGTAGGATCTCAATGATAAATGCAGAGTTTCAATCCCGAGCTTGTGCATTTATCGAGGCATTACTGTACTCCGCTACACGCGAGCGCGTGCGAATGCGAATGCGATTTTGTAATAACGAAAAGTTGTTGTGCTAGTCTAGCACAATCCGGCATAATCAAAGAAAATTCAGAAATATCCATATTTTTAATCACCTCCACCTTTCTTTATAAATTTTAGATGACCCTCGAGCTAATCTCAATCCTTAACGCACGTGTCTCGTGTATCGTAATAGCACAATTTAGCACATCTTGCAAAATTCGATTAGCTGTCGCCGTTCGCAAATTGTGCGAATATTAAATTTTTTATTTCTAAAAATTCAACATTTTTTATCTGCAAAATGAATAGAGATATTGAGTTTCTATCAATGGCACAATATAGTACAAGTTAGAACGCATCTTTTTATAGAAGAAAAAGTTTGTTTCGGCAAAAGTGCGGGGCTAGTATAATTTAGGTTTTATTTCTGCACATAATTGTTATTGATGCTATGAAACTCTTATTTACGGCACAATTCAGCACAAACATAGCACAATACGGTACAAAAAGGAAAAACTCCGAATTGGAAAAGTGCGGGGCTATCAAAAATTTTGTTTGGTCTATTTTCATGAGTACTCTTTGACTTACAGACTTGCGGTTTACGGCACAATTCATCACAAATATATAGGCCAATTGGTAGAGAATTAAAACAGCGTTTTTGTGACAAAAATAGTAACAGCAAACTGATTGTGCTGTTACATAAAAGGGGATGCGTAGATTAATAGGTATATGTTTTTCACTCCCAACTCTGTTCCGTTTTCTTGTTGTTTACAATTTAATGCTAAAAAATCGTGATTTTTGTCGTTTTTTGCTTATAAATTTTAAAGTAATGCAGCAATATCAATGCTCCAAGGAGATAAAATCTAGGCGATGAAAATACTTACAGAATGAGACGTCGAACGTCTCGATCGGATAATGAGGAACGGAGAAAAATCTAGAAAACCGGAAAATTCAGCGTTTCTTCACAAATTCGTATCTCCGCCATTTTTTAAACTGAGACGCTGGCCTTTTGGGAACAAGTAGCGATTGATATGTTCTTTATGTGTGCAAAAAGCGGGGATTGTCAGATAGGTGGTTTTCTCACAATCGCAATCTGAATTTTTCAGTGCGCTTTCTTCCATCGGGCCTGTATGAAAATTTCTTTCCATAGGGCCAACTCTTAACTAGGTACAATAAACCAACAGTAAGCAGACAATTGACTCTACTACACTTCAATAAAACAGCTTTCAGAATGTTTTTGGAGATTATTTTCTTTTACATATGAGATTTATACTTTAATTGAATAATAAAATTGAAATAAAAACCAATTTGTATATTTGAAAAATATTTTATTTGAAATTTTGTAATGTTAGTCTTTTATTCAACTTTTGGGTGTATAACGTTCATTAACGGGCGTTATCCCCCTTTGTAAAGCTTTATTAAATTTTCCCATTAATTTATATGGAGGCCACATGCATTCTTTTTTGAAGACATAAGCCACTCCGATCGTACAACACCAACACTTCCATTGTCACCATCTTGAGTTGATTCAAATTCAATTACTTTGTACATTACGTAAAAGTAAAATAGAAAAGTTTTTTGTTTTATAACCGTCGTTGTTAGGAATAAAAATTCACATGAACTAAAAATGTATATTAAATAGAACACAATAAAACAATACGCATTACTGTTGTACGGACGGATCTTTCGTCTTTCGAAACGGACAGCAAGACACCATGCAACTGCACACAATATACATATAACAGTCATTTCACCTTTAACTCAAAAAATAAAACACTCGCGTTCCGAATTATATTCGTAATTCGCTGGCTTTGACTGACTTCACGCACGTCATTTTCAATCATTATTTGTGCTTTATTGTAAATGTCAATGCGTAACATAAAATACGGTAATGGATAACAAAAATTAACTGTCTAGTGACAACGATGCCCGCCCAGCATCACATCGATTAAAAATTAAAAGAAACAAGAGTCGAAAGACTCGCCCCGTCATTGTGCCGGCAACAATGCTTTTCATTTGTTTTCATTTTTGCTTTCTGAAATTAAAGTAGACAAATTTGATGAATAATCAATTAATAAAGTTCAATATACTGTACATAACGAAACTTCAGTGGGCCATCTATTGCCCAACGATGAAAAACCGCGAGTGTTATTCATAAATAAGAATAGAATGAACAACAGGTTCTTGTTTGTAACAAGATTTCCTCAACATCTAAGGACAACGTTTAAGCGTTGACGTGCTTTGGTTGGTCCGACGTAGTATTATTGTTGCAAGTTTCTTGTTAATTAACCAATTATAGTAATTGTTAGCCCAACATTGGGTATTTGTACGAAAATTGTCATAATCCTTTTAACGTAGGCCCCTATTTGGGCATTTGTAGGCAAAAGCACTAACTATATCCCAACTGATTCCCAACTATTGGAAACTGTTGGCCAACCATAAATGCTACTAGGGCGGGGCTAACTTCACACACATTCGTAACCAGTTCTTCTATGGCTTCATCATTCGTTTTCACGCGGGCTAAATATGAACGGAACAGAACAAATAAAAACTATACTGGTATATACTGGGCGTCCCAAAACTCGCGTAGCCGCCGGAAATGGGAGGTAGCTGAGACGATTCTGAACAACAATTTCCTTTGCAAAAATGTCGAATGGGGCTTCATTTTTGAATTATTATCGATAAGCACCGACCAACTCGAGCCGGGACTGGCTGGTTACGCTAGGTCGCCATGTAGCAGACTGAACGCGCGCTAATCGGGCACTGTGATTGGTCAGTGTTTTTCGTTAATAATTCAAAAACAAAGCCACATCCGACATTTTTGTAAAGGAAATTATTATTCAGAATCGTCTCAGCTACCACCCATTTCCGCCTCCTACGCGAGTTTTGGGACATCCTGAATATGTATGTTCCACTGCTAATAAAAAGAAAATTTAAATAAATAATGGCTTGTTGACTTACCAAGTATAAATTATTCAAAAGAATATTTACTTTCTATAAAGAATTTTACTATCCACCTCTAAATTTAGAAGAAAAACAGAAGTTACGCTCAATAGACGCCACTACTTAGTACACACTTTTTTTCACCATTTGAGTAATTACAAATTGAACATCAAAATCTATTGGTAAACGCTTCAAAAATGTACTACTTTTAGAATAAATCTTAAGCAATGATAGGAAACAAAAGAAATCCATTTAAAATGTAAAATTCAGGCGTAATGAAACAACTACGGAACGCACGTGTCCCAGTAGCTGCGAAAGGGATAATTTGTATACGTACTAGTTTTGTCCAAAGTTGATTCAGAAAAGAAAAATGCGTTAACGAAAGCCAGTACCAAATCACATCTAAAATCCAGGTTCAAAAGGTTTGAAAGAAACAATCAGACGTAGTGAGGAGACAAGCTACCAGCAGCAAAGTAGCTAGACTTTTTAGTGAGCTGTGCCTGAATGGCTCTGGTTGACCACTTGATTTGGCGCCAATTGTATTAATAGTAGTTCGTGTATTGTACCGTCAGCCCTTTTAGAATTCTATGTATGCATTTTACTTTTCCATTGACGAAGCGATTGGTCTATCTCCTTCTCATCCTCGACTATCGGCTATAACTGTCATTCGTTAAATGACAGGCATACATTACGATATTATTATTGAATTACGACGTATCCGAGGTAGAAAAGAAAATGACAGGTGCGGGGAACGCCAGTCGTTCGCTGTGACAAGTGAACATTTACGGAATATCCTCAATATTTTAAGCACGGTGGTTACCATATCGCGTCGACTGTTAAATTTCAGCAATTTGTCGCCAGACTTTTTCATTGATGAATATTTCAATTCGTCATCGAAGACATTTGAATTCGTAAAGAAATGCGTTTCCACGTTAAGGGTAACCAACAGTCTTTTCGAGGAGTTGGAAAGAAATACGTCTAAGAAAGTTTTCGTTTAAAAGTTAGACATTGCAGCAATAAGTAAACTATCGAATTTTGTTGCAGTGCCACGTGAAACGATAGGCCACAGTACTAAAGTGATTAATATCGGGAAAATGACTTTAACCGGTGAGATTTAACTTATTTTAATTTGTTTTGTCAAATTATGTTGTAGTCCCAAGCTATTAAATCATTCTAAACCAGTGGTCAGGGCCGGTTTTAGCAATATTGGCGCCCCGGGCAAGATTATCGTGACGCCCCGTCAGGGGTATATACAGGGTGTCCCAAAAATGTTGTAAAACCTTGAAAGAGGTGGTTCAGGAAGTGATTTGAAACAACTTCTTCCTTAGCGAAAATGTTGTCCGAGGCTTCGTTATGGAGATATTAACAGAAAACCCCGACCAATCAGAGCGCGAGTATGCCGGTGGAGTCGTATGTAATGTTGCAATACCTTCGAAAAATCACCGATTTGTCAGAACCGTTTACTTTACCCCACATAGATGAACTCATATGCACAAAAAGATGATGGAAAGTACCTAATCGAGAGAAATTAATTGTATGAAATAACAGTTAGTACTTTCTCATTAAAGTTTATTCTATGAACACGTATGATTTACTGGAAATAAACGACATGTTCACTTCAAAGTATAGAAAATGTAATTCTTTGTTTGAAATGTACAGTTATTTAATAAATGTAGATAACAAAATTCTTACTCTCGATAGGCAAGTGAGTTCTTTGGTATAGTAATATCAAAAGATATCAAAGAAATATATGTACAATTGAGTAAATCGTATTACACCATTTATTAAACAGTTGATAATTAAAACACACGTGTTCAATAAATCGCCTTTATTAAACATTGCGTTTAGAGTTTCTTTTGTTCTTCTGAATATATCTGTCTGATAGAACACATTGTAATATAAGTTGTAATTTTTATAATTGATACTTCTCCAGTAATAACAGCGGGAGGTAACATTCTGTTGATTCAATTATCTATATACATATATAAAAATTAACTATACAATACATATATAATACATCAAATTATACATAATAATAGACAAACTTCAGATTAAAAGTATAAATTTTTCTTAATGCTTAGACAGCAGAGATGGGCTAAATTCTTATGTAAATAATAATCATGAAAAACAAAAGATACACAGTATTCGATATTCGTAGAATTATACATTAAAATTTGAAATGTAGAATGAAATACTTAAATAATATTGAACGTTACGTTATATGTGAATTTGTATAAGTATTCTATACAATAAATGTTGCTCATGAATCATTATACTGTGCTTTAATTAATCATCTCTGTTAGAAAGAGACGTTCGAATGATTATAAATGGTATTTTATAGATGCAATTAGTTCTATAATTTTATAAATTGCTTGGATTTACAAATCGCATTTCAGGGCAAAATTTTATTATATAAGTAATGAAAGCGTACATAAATCTTACTGTGATTTAATGAACTTTCACCGTAGTCTACATTTTTGTATATTTACATCATGAACTGTAATTTCGAGTTCAATATTCCACTACGCGTTTGATTACAATTTTTCATTTTAATTTACTTTCGACTGTGCGTGTGAATAATATATGCCACATTACACTATGCTATACGCATATATCAATTGGTTCGGATATGCGCACAATTTCTCATCTTCTTAACTAAAAATATCAATTACTCCACTTAAAGTAGTGTTCAAATGATCAATATTTGGATAAACTGTAGTCGAAGTAATCGAAGCCCTACTATAACTAAAATTACATTTTAATTATAGTTTGAACGCATTTGAATGCATATCTCTACAAAATACACAGAAGCGACTCAAACTTATGCAGACAATGCGCGGAAGCCGAAGAAATAACAAGGCATATCATATGCGAGTGCCCAAGACTGATTACGACTAGGAAGAAACACCTAGAACAACCCTTCTTAGAACCAGACATGATATCAACGCTGAAACCAGTCAAAATATCATCCTACATAGCAGAAATTAACCCATGAAAATGAACGAAGCCTAACAAGTAGCAGAAATACATAATTATATCCCACGAGGGTAAAAGATGGCGCGTGTAACTAAGGAAGACTCAAAAACCGCTCCGACACAAAGAGGAGCCACAGGGGACGCCTTGGTATGGAGGTCAACTGTGGCATCTCGCCGAGGAAGGGGTCCACTGGCACGGCGCGAGGACGGGGCCCCCTTCCACATGCGCCACAACACACACACAAGCCAAGTGTATAACACGACACCCCCAGCAATGGGTGTACTACAAATAAACTAACAATAACCATCGTAAGTGAAGGGCTAGCGCGCTTCCTCCTAGAATGGGAAGAGCTCAGACCTAGGACGGGTGGTGACCGTACCTGGTATACACACCATCATACAAAAGGGGATTACGGAACCATGAAAATGGATCCAACAACCTTCCGTAAGAGGTGATGTCCACTACCAACAAAAAACCTCCCAACAGGGAAAGGGGGATCCTAAGCGAACCCTGAGGCGGGTGGTCACCGCACAATAATCACAATCGTGCCAGCAAGGAGTGAGAGCTACGGGGACAAACGAGACAAACTGTAAACCCAAATAGGATAGACCCGTGATAGGAATAGGTAAGATCGGCGGAGGAGGACGAGCAGCTGCGGGGCTGCCTTGACCTCCAAGATGCAGCTCGAACTACTCTGCGGTTCTTAATTAGAGGACCCGCGGGGTGTCAAAAAACAGAGACAAGCCGGTAATCCAAATGTCAAGCGATGTCAACGGGACATCGCTGGCGTAAGGAATCGAGTGGGATAGGCTAATCAACTAAGGAGGAGGGAGGGCTATAGATTTGCTCGCAATCCAGACATTACCTCTCGGACAGAGGCCGGTGGGGAAAGAGGGAAGGGGGGAGTGCTAGGGAATAAAGTCAGAGAGGGGGAAGGGGGGTGGTAAGCTTGAAGGTACGAAATCCAGCCTGGGTTACGGAACACGTAGGCTGAGAAAGGTGACCGACTATCGGCCCAGGAATAAAATGATAAGGGGTGGATAGAGCTCTCAGTCTCGATGGCACGGCGCAGAGGGAAACATGCAGGCTAGCACTGCAGGTCCTTAGGGATGTAGATTGCCCGACGTCCAACTCCGCTTCGGCATTACCGAGATATAGGTAGAATGGCCCCACCCAATGATGGACCGCCCCGTGAAGTAGCGACGTCCTCGTGAACGATGGCCCGGGCCGAATGAAAGCGAGGACCCAGCGAAAACGGGTAGAATCAACGGCTGGGTGACTGTCCTCTCCTGTCTTACTGCTAGACCGGGGTGATCGGAACAGGGGCTAAGACCCACGTAGCCAAAAGGACCTCGGGGGCCGCACCGAGGGCCCCCTCCGGCCAACAAAGCAAAAACTATACAAAACTATGTCGGTGGAGCGCCCGTGGTAGCGTACAAAAGCGGCCACCTAGCGCGTAGTCGACGCTACCGCGGCCAATGCAACGGTATACTCGCGCTCTGATTGGTCAGTGTTTTTCGTTAATATCTCCTCAACGAAGCCTCGGACAATATTTTCGCTAAGGAAAAAGTTGTTTCAAATCACCTCCCGAACCACCCATTTCAAGGTGTTACAACATTTTTGGGACACCCTGTATATCGGTATATTCGTATACTAGGGACACCGGACTGCGACGCCTTCAGAAATCTGGCGCCTCGGGCGGCTCTTGGCACTTTGGCCGGGTCCACGGTCACACCGGCTTAAGCGATGAGCTTTGGGCCGGCGGGAACTCATTACCTTAGCTTCCTGTTTCGACCCCGCGTTTTGGGCGATCCTCGTTTTCTCTTTGACCCGGGCCTATCCTTTCAAGGATGCGCGCTACTCTGCTGGGGGTGGTCCATTATTAAGCGGGACCATTCTACCTATTTCTCGGTAATGCCGAAGCGGAGTTGAACGTCGGGCAATCCGCATCCCTCAGGACCTGCAGTACCAGCCTGCGTTGTTCACCCCTTTACACTATGAATCAAGTTGAGGGTCCTATCCACCCCCTGTCATACTATGCCTGAGGTCGTTATTCGATCCTCGCTCTCAGTCAGAGTGTTCCGTATCTCTGCCTGGATTGGTTCCCTTTTAGTGTTACCACCCCTTCCCCCCTACCATTTTATTCCCTAGCACTCCCCCCGACCCTCTTGCCCCTACCCACCTCCTTTGGAGGTTCTAGCTAAATAGTCGCGGGTTTGCAAGGTTTCATCCCCCTCCTCTTTTCGATTAGATGGTTATTGTGTTCTGCTTCGGTGGACGCGCTGAGGCGCAGTCGGCGCGTCCCTGCTTTTGACATGGTATCTTTGCCTGTCCCGTGCTCTACTCGCTCTTGCTATTTCCTCTAGTTCTACACCCTGCGGAGAGGGGGTCTCCGCAGTGTCGTTTGTGTGCGATTTTCCTGCGAGACGTCCCTCGATCCGTCTGGTGCCCGTGTTGCTATTTGTTTGTTCTATGGCAAGGGACACCACCCCTTCCGTGGGGTTGGTGGATCCATTTACATGGTTCCGTGACCCCTTTTCATACGATGGTGGATGTCCTTAGTTGTGGTTCTGCCGACATTTCTGTCAACGTGCCATAATCCTTACTGTGGCCATGTCAGCATTGCTGCCAACGTGTCATATCACTTCCTTAGGTGTTTTGTCCGCGGGGGACTAGCCCCGACTCCCCGGCTGAGGGTATTCCGTCCTAGACGGTCTTTCCTGCCGGGGAGCTTCCCCTATCCGCAAGCTGGGGACGCGTCACGTAGGGGTTCACCTCCCCTCCCACTTGGACAACCAAATGGGTGGGTGCCCCCCCCCCTAACGTCGACCCTGCCAGTGGGGCACAAAATTTAGCTTATGAGCAAATTCGGTCACACGTTAACACATTCCACGCTGGTCCCGCAAAAATGCCGAATTTTCAGTCTGTTCTTTGATCCGGCTTTCTCTATCTATGAACGTTTTACGCTTTGATGTGCGTGTACTAGATATCGTTTATTTAATTTTGCATTTGTTTTATATAAAAACAATAATTTGAAAGCAACGAGAATTCTACAATGGCGTATTCAAAAGTCAGTATCTATTTGTTTAATGTATTTATTGTTTCGTTTGAAAAGTATAGTAAGTTTTATT